ATATATATATATATATATATATATATATATATATATATATATATATATATATATAGAATATATATTATATCACTTGCACGTGTTGACCTGCAGGCCGCGACGGCGCCATAATATTTGAGAGTTCTTTTGAGGAGTTTGAAGAAGGCGACGTGTTGCTGGCGTTCGAAGAAAGAGAGAAAAGTCCACCTTCGTTCCTCGCTGGCCACCACTTCATGAAAGCTCCTGCATAGACCGCAGAGGCGTGTGCCGCCGCCGGCATCTCGTGCTCTGTGCAAATATCCTGAAAAAAAAAAAAAAAAAAAAAAAAAAAAAAAAAAAAAAAAAGGGGAAAGCCACGCGAAATAGAATACGTCCGACTTGAACGAAGTCGTCGGCATAGAAATTCTGCAAAAATTTTTGTTTTTTTGGTATTTTTTCATGGAAACCTCTAATTTTGCAAGTTCTGATTCTGTTGAGTTTGAGCGAAACGGAATACACGATGGTGGCGGGAAAATAACGTATTTTCCCGCGATCCTCGTTTTGAATTATAAAAACATTATAAATGCTGCTCATAGCGTATTTTAATCACTCTATATTTGTGACGAAACCTTCGAACACAAGCTCAGAAAATAAGCTTTCCAGAGCTGCCTATACACCCGACGCCCACACATCGATTTCTGCATCAAGCGGGCTTTACGTTTGAGGGAACACGGGCTTTATTTTCATTCCATTGAATGAATATTCTCTCATCATTGTCGGGGGTTCCTCTTTTATCCCGGCATGTTCGTTTCTCTACAAAATGCGTGTCCTTCCACCCCAGCTGCAAACCGAGCAACCTGAACCGTCAACTCGTGCGGTGCAGCGGCACAAACAAACGGATACCGTCCGTTTCTTACAACGAAAACATCAACCTGGTGGAGAAAAAACACAATTTGAAGGGCGACGTGCATTGAGGCGTTTGCGAAACAGCAGCAAACGCACCATGAAATGCAAGTTGAATTTCTCGAGTTTCCGTGTACACCTCCGCACAGAACACCCACGAGGGACGCTGCTGGCACGTGCACAGGTAGCAAGCTTCATATATTCAGTTCGTTTTACATGTGAAATACCACCACTGACACAGGAAACAGCACAGAGGCGCACTCGTCAGCCACTGAGACAGAACGGAGTGCAGGAGCAGACCCCAGCCCCGCCAGCTGCTGCAGCGATTGCCGTCCTCAGAACTCCTCGATCGTCAGCTGCACGAGTTTCCGTGCGCGCGAGCTGCTCCCCCGTGCTTCCTCCATCAGCGAAGACCCCGCGGACTTGGTGCGCATTCATTCTCAGGTGTATATGCACCTCTCTATTCAGATATTTCATCTTCTGCAGGAACCTCCCCGCGAAAGCTGCCACGGAGACCCCTCAACTCCCCCCCAGCCCTCCTTCAAGGCCTCTGGCTGCAAACCCTTTGACCCGGCCGACCCCTCCTTGCCCGCTGCGGCTGGAGGCTACCCGCAGCAGCAGCAGCAGCAGCAGCAGCAGGAGCAGCAGCAGCAGGAGCAGCATCTTGGATGGAGGCGGGTACGTCAGCAGCAGCAGCAGGTCTGAGCAGCTCGTTGTTCTTTTGTTTCACTGTTGATTTCTTTGTTTTTTTGTTGTTTAGTTTGCTCCCCAGGGCCAGCCGCATGCAGCCCCAAAACTTGAATACCCCAGAAGTGCCGAGTCAGCCATTTACGCTTGGAGAGACGGTGGTGAGAGCAGCAGCAGCAGCAGCAGCAGCAGCAGCAGCAGTAGCAGCAGCAACATCATGTCTCTCTGTATCTGTTTGTGTCTGTGTATCTCTTCTATCTATGCCTCTGTATCTCTGTCTCTACCTGTGTTTCTGTCTCTCTGTCTGCATGCATGCATGCATGCATATTGCTGTGTTACAATAAAACAAATTGCTGCTCATCTCCGTTGCTGCTGCTCCAGGCTCGCGCCCGCTGCGCCTTCTTAGCCTCCCCGGCGGCGCCTCGCAGACACCACCAGCGCATGCACAGCAGCAGCAGCAGCAGCAGCAGCAGCAGCGGCAGCGGCAGCAGCAGAGGAAGCGCCTCTCAAGGGGCCCCCTCCCCTTCCCTGCCTTGATGCAGCCGCCGTCTCTCTTTGCGTTAGGGGGCCCCCAGGGGGCCCCCATCCTAACCCCCCCCTGAGCCGCTAGGTCTGTCTTTGTCTTTGTCTGTGTTGTTGCTGTTTTAATTTGTCTCAATGGTAAAGACAACAACACAGCCCGACAAGTAAAGAACCTAAACCCTAGACCCTAAACCCTAAACCCTAAACCCTAGAGACCCCTGATATACGCATCCATCTGCTGCGGCAGTGCTGCAGTGAGACGAGTCAACAAAACCAACAAAAAGAAAGAAAACCCCGCAGCAGAAACAGCAGCTGCTTCTGCTGCTACCCGCTTGCAGCAGCAGCAGCAGCAGGTGTTGCTGTTGCTGTGTTGATTGCTGTTGCTGCCGCCGCCGCAGCAGCAGCAGCAGCAGCAGCAACAGCACGAGGATTACTTGTGTTGTGTGTGTATGTTTTGTTCGGGGCTGAATCCCTCTCCCAGTATAGGCAGAATGTCTGTGTACCCCTTAGCTAGTCTGCATGCAACAAAAGAATTAAAGTGAGGGTCTATAAGAGCCAGAGGATCATCACCCAGCAGCGGGAGCTCCCTATACACCGCAGGAGATACACCTGCTGCTCTGTATGCAGGCAGGTCACGGCTTGGCCGCTCGTAGCGACGAATTGCCTGAAGAAATATATAAATAAAATAATAAACACAAATATATTCTATTTATACTTTTATATCTTTTTATTTGCTTTTATTTAAACATGTATAAGACGCATTACATGGGCATGCATATAGTGAGGTTAAACGTGTTGGTGCTGCTGCTGCTGCTGCTGCTGCTGCTGCTGCTGCTGCTGCTGCTGCTGCTGATACTGCTACTGCTGCCGTGGTTCTGTTGCTGCAGCATATAACCACATTGGTTGCTGTTTTCAGCAGAGAAGAAGAAGAAAGAAGAAATAAAAAGAAGAAAGGAATAAAAAAGAAAGGACGAAAAAAGAAAAAAGAAGAAAAGAAAAAAGAAAAAAAAAGAAGAAAAGAAGAAAGAAGAAAAAAAAGAAGAAAAGAACAAAGAAGAAGAAAAAAAGAAAAAAGAAGAAAAAAAAAAGAAGAACAAAGAAGAAAGAAGAAAAGAATAAGACAGAAAAAGAAAGAGGAAGAACAAAGAGGATCAAGAAGAAAGCAGAAAGAAACAAAAAGAAAGAAAAAAAGAAAAAGAAACAAAAAGAAAGAAAAAAAGAAAAAAAAGAAAAGAAAGAAAGAGAAAGAAAAAAAGAAAAAGAAAGAAAGAGAAGAAAAAAGAAACAAAAAGAAACAAAAAGAAAGAAAAAAAGAAAAAAAAGAAAAAAAGAAAAATAAAGAAAAATAAAGAAGAACAGAGTGAAAGCCAAATTCATAAGCGTACGAGTAGAGCAGAAACGAGAGAATCCTGCTGCTGCTGCTGCTGCAGCTGCTGCTGCTGCTGCTGCTGCTGCAGCTCGTTTGCTGCTGCGAGGTTTTCTATGGCTTCTATGTGCAGACGGCTCATCGCCTGGCGGTGGCCCCACATCTTTCTCCACTTCTTCCGCCGGTGTTTACCCAGGTGCAGCTTCGGGCCCCGAAAGTGCTGCAGCACGCGAGCTCGCACCTGCAGCAGCAACAGCAGCAGCAGCAGCAGCAGCAGCAGCAGCAGCAGCAGCAACAGCAGCAACAGCAGCAGCAGCAGCGGCAGCAGAAATGTTGCAGTGATAGCAGCAGAATGTCTAGGACTCATGCTCTGTAACAACCGCAAAAAATATAAATATTATATACATGCTAGCTAGCTAGTAGCCAGCTATGTATATTGTGGCTAGCTAGCTAGATAGACAGATAGCTAGCTAGACATGGATGAATAGCTAGCTAGCTGCTTATAGTTAAATTACTAGATAGCTAGATAACGATATATGTATATGTGACTAGCTAGGTAGCTAGCTACCTAGCTACCTATATAGCTAGCTAGCTAGCTAGCTAGCTAGCTAGCTATCCATATATCCATCTACCGTTCTATCTATCTATCTATCTATCTATCTATCTATCTATCTCGCTAGCTAGCTACCTAGCTAGCTAGCTATCTACCTAGCTAGCTAGCTAGATAGCTAGCTAGCTGAGTTACGTTCGGACTTACGCGTATATGTTCAAGGAAGGGCTGCCCAACGAGAGTGGGCCCGTCCTTTTGCTGCAGCAGCAGCACCCGCAGCAGCAGCAGCAAGCCCCCTTCTTTTTGTTTTATTCTATTAACATCATAGAAACGCCCCACCTCCATCCACCGCTTCGCTCCCCCAATCTCAGCCACAAAATATTCTCCGCTCCGTTCCTTGCCGTCCATACACACAGCTAGTTTCTCCTGCGCGGGAGACGAAAGAAAAGCAAATAGGGGGGGCCCCCCAAGGGGGCCCCTCAGGGGCCCCCCAACGGGGCCTCTTAGGGGGCCCCCAGCAAGGTGGTCCCCAGCAAGGGGGCCCCCAAGGGGCCCCCTGCAGGGGTTACTTAGGGGGGCCCCAAGGGGCCCCCCGAAGGGGGTACTTAGGGGCCCCCTAGAAGCCGCTGGGGGGGACCTGGGGGGCCCCACAGAAGAGAAGAAAGAGGGGGGCCCCCCGCAACCCAGCAGACGGCAGCAAGGTGGAGAAGCAAAGGGAGCAGCAGGAAGTACAAAGGCAGAGGTAGCATGCAGAGAGGCCCACTGTGTCTGCTGCTGTTGCTGCTGTTTTGGCTGCTGCAGCAGCAGCAGCAGCAGCAACAACAGCACGAATTTGTGTGGCTCTCTCTCTATGTGCATGCTGACGATGGGGGCCCCGAAGGCCTCTACTGCTGAGGCCAGCAGCAGCAATACATTCTCCTTCTGTACCCTATCCTCTTTGGGGGGCCCCCCTCTTCATTGTCTGTTGCGCTGGGGGGCCCCCACAGCCACTAAGCTCATCACTCAGGGGGGCCCCAGGGAGTCAGCAGCAGCAGAAAACAAAAACTATAAATAAAATAAATATAGTTTATTTCTTCTTTATGCACTTTCTGCTACTGCAGCACAACACAGCAGCTAAGTCGAGGGTAGGGGCCCCCAGCGGTGGCGGGGGGCCCCTCTCTCGTCTGTCTGTACCTAGGGCCCCCCAGGCACATAGCTAGTTGTGTTGTTGTGTATATACATTTATATTAAATTAATTGATGCAAATTAAATTATTATTTATTAAAAATAATTAAAAACACAAATAAATATTAAATAAAAAGAAAAATAGCAACAAACGCAGAGAACCCCCACGTACAGCCCATACACAAACTCAGCCCCTTCAGCACAGCCTTCGCCTGCAGACGCTACAGCAGCAGCAGCAGCAACAGCAGCAGTAGTAGCAGCAGCAGCAGCAGCAGCAGCAACAGCAGCAGTAGTGCAGCAGCAGCAGCAGCAGCAGCTGTCTTCAGCAGCAGCAGCTGTCTTCAGCAGCAGCAGCAGCTGCTGCTGCTGAAGGTTGACTGGGGGGTATTGTAGTACCTTCTTTATCTCGACTTAGCACGGCATATGCCAAGAGGGGGGCCCCTGGGGGCCCCCCATCTTGTTTCATTGCTTCTGCTAGGGTACCTGAGACCCAGGTGTGAGGCCCCTCCCTCTTTAATCATGTGTTAGGGGTTTAGGGTTTAGGGTTTAGGGTTTAGGGTTTAGAGTTTTAGGGTTTAGGGTTTGTAGTTTAGGTGATTGCTGTGTCTGTGTTTGCATACGGATAGATAAAGAGATAACGTGGCTACTGGCGAGACAGAATCCCTGCTGCTGCTGCTGCTGCAGTTGCTGCTGCTGCTGCTGCAGTTGCTGCTGCTGCAGCAGCAGGGAATCTGCTTCTGTTAAGCGCCGCGCTGCAGTGCATGCACAAAGGTAGAGAAAGACAGCAGCAGCCACGAGGTGTACATACACCTCAGAGCAGCAAAACCAAAACAAAAGGAAAACCCGTGCAGGATATGCATTAATAAAATAGTATGTTTGCTGTTGAAGCTGCTGCTGCTGCTGCAGCAGCAGATGCAGCAGCAGCTGTTGCTGCTGCTGCTGCTAGTAAGGAGGCCTATGCTTTTTGCATAGGGGGATTAAACAGACGACGGCCTTTGCGGGTCGCCTGCAGCTGCTGCTGCAGCTGCTGCTGCAGCTGCTGCTGCAACTGCTGCTGCAACTGCTGGTGCAGCTGCTGAGATAGAGAGAATCTGCTGCTGCTGTTGCAGCGAGGACCTTCATATTCGTAGTTGGTTG